ATAAAAATGTTTTCAGGGGCACCTAGGTGGCTGAGTCAGTTAAGTATTCAACTCTTGGTTTTGGCTCTGGTCACGATCTCAGGGTTGTGGGATCAATCCCTGTGTTGGGCTCTGCGCTGGACATGTGCAACCTACTTGGCCTTCTCTCTTTCCCTTTTCCTCTGCCCCACCCCTTCTTAAAAAGAAAAAAAAAATTTTTTTTCTTGCATTAATTTTAAGTAACTAGAAATCTCCAATTTACTTTAAATATTGGAGGCCAGCATTTTATTTTAAAAATATGATCTACAGATAAACATTTGAATACAAAGAGTAAAGAAAAATTACTGTTGCCATAGAAGTAGTATTGTGATTTCTTAAATGTTACTATTGTTGATTTTGGTCAGTACTAGTCCCTAAGAGAAAAAGTTACTTAAGGGGAGTGTTTTCAACCTGTGGGTATTAACTTCTTAGTAGGTACTAAATCAATTTACTGGGTCATGACTAGCATTATTTTTAATGAAATAGAATAAAATAGAAATATTAGAGTATATCACATTCAATTCAGGTGAATAATGAGTGAACAAATGAGTATGTGTATTAATATGGGTTTGTATACAGGGTCAAGATGTAAAATGGAACTCCAATAAAAGTGCTGAACACCACTGTTACTCTTTCTTCTTTCCAAGAGATAACATGGCTCTGTACCACAGGAAAGCATAGTGCAAACATGCATTTACCTTACTGATACATTTCCTTTCACAACAACCTACTCAGACTTTAATTATTTCCTTCTCTTTACTTATTAGAATTCACTCTTACTTTGATCTCAAAATATTTTTCTTTTCTGGTTCTTTTTAATGGCATTGATAGAATATACTCTGCCTTAAAAAATTTTAAATATTTTAGAAACTTTAATAACAAAAGTGATCATATAATTTATTGTCCAATCTGGGACACTTATGAAAAGAGGTACTTTTCTATTACTTGGTTGGGACAACAGAGCTAACCCAGTGTGTACAGTCACTCTATTAATAACTTAGTAATGCTGTGTTTTTAATACTGCCAGTATAAAAAGGATATCATTTAATTTAAATATTAAACACAAAAAAGTCAATAGTAAAATTAAAAGTCTAAAAGCATTTAATATGAACTACATAAGATTTCTGATTCTTAATGAAAATTATGTAATGTTCTTATTACATTGTAGAAAGAATTAACCAGAAAAAATTTACATGAGCAGTTTAATCTAAAGAGAACAAAACCTGAAAAAGAATTTTATTAAGAGTGTAGTCTATCTTAACTGTAATAAATTCCTATTTAGAAGTATGCCTTGAATTTACAATAAAGTAAACCCTTTGGCACTATTCTCTTTAGACAAAAATCCATTTTAAAAAAAGTTTAAAAAAATGCTTCATAAATGATTATCCACAATTGCATGGAAATTATTATATAAATTATTTGAACCTGCTCTATGGATTATAAATTGGATCAGTTCTGGGCAAAATGAAGTCTATTCTTTTTTGACAGTTTAACTCTGTCCCAAGTATGGCTATCCTTCCATGTCTTCAATTCTAAGCTTTCTTACTTTATTACTCATCATGTCCTTTTACTAAAATTATGAAGCATATTATATTTTAATTTATATTTGTGACCATATAAATTAGTTTTGATGTTACACAGTTCCAGCATTTTAACTATTTTCTAACTCATATTAAAAAAAAAAAAAAAAGATTTCTTAGGGTTCCTGATACCTAGTTCTGTGTCCTTTCTACTACATTCTACTTCATTTTTCTTTTGTCATCTCCTCTTTCTCAGCTTTCCACCAGAGGAAGAAGGGTCTAGAGATGATAACCTTCAAGAGATACAAAACTTGTGTACAGAAAACTTTTTATCTATGGCTGAATAAGTACATGTTTCTGGGATGGGGCCCACAGCTTTCATAATTCTCAAAGAGGTCAATGATCCAAAAAAGATTGAGAACTATCACATCAGAATTATGTGATTCCTCAAACAAATAGCTATTTGGGGAAGCAGAGGAGCATCCTTTTTGGTCTATTCAGGCTAGCTAGAATATTTACCTCCCCCAACAGACTGCTAGTTCCCATAGAAGAGGTGGCTTGGGGATTTGTTCTATCCTAGGTAACCATGCAGACCAAAGACCGAAGACCGCAGACCATAGACCTCAGACTGCAGACTGCTAGCATTTACTCTAGGGATACCTAAGCTTTTTCTTCAAGAGGAGGCCACATCCACATGAATGAAGACTACTTGAATTAAGTACCAGACATTCTTATGGAGGCTTTAGTCCTACATATTTTCTTACATTGTTTCAGCTTTATAATCTACTTGGATTAAGGTAAGGTTTTTTAAACACAATTTTGTATTTCTTTCATCAAAACATCATCAACATATTCTTGAAAAATAATGCTTGCTATTCATATGAATTGATGAATCTCTTATAACAATCCAGTGGAACTCTCCAGAAACTAAAGGTTGGGACCACTAACTTATACCATGAAACTGATATGGGGAAAGAAAATAGGCAGGTGGAATTTATAAATATAAAATACAATGTTCCCACTTGGAAAATGAAAAATGTCACTAAAGCTGATAAAAAAAACTTCTTAGTAGGCATAAGTAAGTAGCAAATACATATTCCATGTAGCTCTACTGGTCAAGAAGCTTTCAAAAAATCAGGGGGAAAGTATCAGAATTTCTTAAAAAAAAAAAAAAGGGTGCATGCATTTTAAAATTTTTCTTAAAAGTAGGTGTGGGCTGTAAAAAATGCCATCCTAGACTTTCTTCAGGTTTTCATTTCCTTTCTCTTTGCCTTAGGACTGCCAAACACACAATTTATATTTTCTAATACTTCTGACATTTTGGTTAGTATTAAAGTTCTTTAAAAAGTAATATCCTCGGGGCGCCTGGGTGGCTCAGTGGGTTAAAGCCTCTGCCTTTGGCTCAGGTCATGATCTCAGGGTCCTGGGGTTGAGCCCTGCATCGGGCTCTCTGCTCAGCGGGGAGCCTGCTTCTCCCTCTCTGACTGCCTCTCTGCCTACTTGTGATCTCTGTCTGTCGAATAAATAAATAAAATCTTAAAAAAAAAAGTAACATCCTCTTTTTTTCCTTGATGCCCAAAGAAACATATCCCCATTCATCCTATATTACTTTTTTTCTTTAATGACATTTTTTAGATAATAAAGTATTTTTGATAATGCACCCTTGGTCAGTGAAGGGTTATGCTCAGTTATTTATAAATAATTAAACCTACATTTCGAAAGATTTTCAGATGAGGTAAAGCCATTTTTTAATGGCATACAAAATCTGTACTGGAGAGATGTACCTCATTGAGTATTTGCCATTATCTGTCTGAATAGTCAGACTGAAACATTTCTCTAAAGTCCTCTAAAATCTACTCCAGGCCTGTTTCTTGGGTCCCTGTTCTTTCTAAGACTCTTATTTATTCAGTCTTCAGCAGAATGCTCCCCACCTTAAAGTGAACTTCATTTTAGGATTTCCAATTACTTATGTTCTATACGTTGCAGACAATAGTGATTACAAACAGAGGTCTAGGATAAGACAGCCTCGATTTTTCAACTTTGTTATTAATAACTACATAAGTTTGGGTAACTTGCTTAAGTTCTCTAAGCCCCAGTATCCTATAAAATTATTGTACCTACAACTCATACGGTGGTTGTGAAGCTATATATTATGCATGAAAATTGCACAGCACAGTGCCTGACACATAGTAAATGTTCGATAAATGTTAGTGATTATGATAACAATGATGAATTTCTGTTTCCACAGTCTTTTATTTTTACTGCCTCCCTGCTTCTAATGTCAGCAATCACCTTCCAAGGCTGATGAAGGTAGGAATAATCTCACAAAAACTAAAATTTCACAGTAAGAGGTTATAATCCAGTAAAGTAAAACTCACTCTATCCTTTTTAATACAGTCAGCGGTCATCCCTGGTCATTTGTATATCAAGTCAAAGGATAAAGCAAAGAAGCAGAAGAAAGAAAGACATTAGTATGAATACAAGTGTTTCTTTGGTAGCAAGAACATATTGGATGTAAGCCATAGAAAGACATGAGGAAGAACGAAAAAGGTTGGGAAAACAACAGCTAGAAGAAAGCAGAAGGCAGTGATCTCAAAGAGCAAGAGAAATAAAGAGATTGGAAGGAGAATTTTAGTCAAAAGGATTTATGTGGATATATTTAGGAAACAGGGTATATTTTAAGACGTGAGCAAAATGGGATTTGCTAAAGCAGGGTAGCTTGAAAGGCTACAAATGAAAAGAGCAAGGCATTTTGTAGGGTAAGAAGCAGTATTACATGTGAGTAATTTAATAAAATTCTTCACAGGCTAGCAATATGAAGAGGTTATCTGCAAGGTTGGGCTAACCAACCAAAAATAACACAGAAATGTGCATGTTAACATTTATGTGCTTGGCTATATTTATTAATCCTAAACATAGTTTAGGAGCACTAAAAGAAAAATCTATTCAGTTGTCAACATGGACCATTATTAAGGCTTGTCTCTTTAAAGACCTGATCTATAAACTAATGAAAATTCCTTAAGTTTTGCTTAGTTTTCTAATTAACCTACATATTTGAAATTTCACAATAATTTCCTTTCCTAATAACGCATTTCCTCAAGCTAGAACTACAATCTATTTTACCAAAGAGAGGTGCCTTACTGGAATCCACTAATAAAAATAAATTTAAAAAATCAAAAATTGTATAATTTAAAAATCAATGGGAGTTCTGTAGACTCAAAAGTTCCACACCTCTGTTGGTTTTCTTTTCCCCTAAATCAAGTCGATAAGAGCCAAATGAAAAAGAATAACTTCCTTAAAATTATATCTAACAGTTTACAAGTTGCTGAAATTTAATGTATATTCAGTCTCAACTGTGCTTACCAAAGAAAGCTATAAATATCATCTGAACTAGCACCAGTCTGGTGAGAAAAAAAGTGTACTGTACCAAGCAGACTTGCTGTGTTATCTGTTCAAACATACCTGTACCAGTCAAAAGTCCAGCACTCTTCTTTCGTGCATAAGCGCGTAAGTGGTTGGACAGGCTAACAGCACTTGTAAACGTCGTATTGCAATGCACACATGTTCTAAGCTTCACAGGCATACCTATCATTCAAAAGAAAACTATAATCCAGTTCTCACTTCAAAAAGTGAAATTTTCTTAGCTAAAAGCGTGAAGAAAAGTACCACAGTAAGGATGGTTTTAAAAAACGTTCATTGAATTAGCTTAACTTAAAATAAGGAGGGGGAATTAAGTTAATTAACTATGATTAGTTTGTTGTTAGTATTTAGAGCCAACCCATGCTCTTTGGAAATGTGGAAGAGGAGTGCCATGAACCTCTGAGCTCCTCTGGATTTAACACTTCTTATCACTTTCTTGCAGATTTCTGTGTTACGCAGATCATTTCCTAAACCTAAAATACAATCCTGTGATTTGAAGAGCACAGTTCAGTTGAGAAGTTTCAAAGCTTACAACATTACCAATAAAAAGAATTAAAAAGTCTAGTTGACAAAGTGGTAATTAAAGTGTTTTACCCACAAAACCGTAAAAGGCTCAATACTAAATTAGGCTTTCTGATGAAGGCTGGGAGAAAAGGTGGTAAAACACACCATTGAGCAGCTGTTAGACACAACATTTTATTCAGGGCATTTTATGTTCATTACTCTGAATGCGCAATCAATAATGAAAGTTAATGATTTGAAGTTTTTTGCTAAAATCTTTGTGCTAAATAAATGATCAACAAGCTAACATCTTAGTCATCACCGGAAAGAAAACATGTTGAAACAATAAGAAACTCCTAACTTCAAAGACAATCCTCACTCCCCCAACACCTTTCAGTTGGTTTCTTCAACAGTAACTATGATAATCAGCCACAAATACACTTTCCATCTCTCAAGTGTACCACACGTTAGTCAACACAGCTAACACACCTTCCTTACATTTTCTCCTTCTCAAAAAGGTGGAAGATTTGACTTTGAAAGACTCACTTCATACAAAAGAAAGAACCCTATTAACCACAAACCCATACAAGATAGTTTTGCAGACCACTTATAACACAAGGTAATCTTTCCTTAAATCAAAACTGCATACAAATATCTGGGCTACCCCAATGTCTGCCAGAGCAAGCAAATCAACATTACCATAATTATATTCATTATTAATCCATTGACCAGTTACTTTTACCTTAGACACATTCAACTCAGGGCTAAGTTATAAGACCATCTAAGTTCGTTTTCAACATTTTTAACCTCCAAAAGAAACCTACAAAGACACTTAAAATTTTTCTAGTCTAAAAGTATAAGCCAGACTTAGCAAGAACACATACAGTTTTCTATTTTACCTGCTACATCACTTGCTGGCACACACAAACTATTCTTTTGAAAAGGAAAAACTATTGGTGCACAAGCACTAACCTAAACCATCTGTTCTGTTCCTTTAGACCACCACTGTAAAATCTAAAACCCCAAACAAATGCTTTATACTCACAACAGTTCTCCAAAACCAAACTATCCCACAATATAATGAGGAACTGGAGAGGGAGATGTTTCTTCGGGTTAATCACAACACACAACAGACACCAATCCATTCAGTTTAACGAGTCTATTTTTTGTTTGTTTATTTGTTTGAGCAGAAGGAAAACCAACAGCTTTTACAACACATTATCACCTTGGAGCACTGGCATATATAGGACAGGTATGCCATTTCAGTAACGCTACGCTTTTTGAACAACGTCGGCCTCCCATCCATAGGACCATCCCCCAGCCACAGCAAATTTTATTTTTACAGATCAGCTTTTTGTTTGTTTTTGTTCTCACCTTACATTCTGACCAAGAAATGAGGCACAGAGAATTCCGTGCTGATGAACATCAACTGATGACTTACATAGAAATGACAGTATAACCAATCTCTGTTCTGCAAAAAAAGCAGCTTAAGTAAAAGGATCCTAAGAAAGTATTTTCTACAAATATTCCATACAAGTAAGCATAATAAATTGTGTTTAAATTCTATACGACAGTCATAGGCATCCTCTTACCTGAGTGCATAGTCAAATCCATCCTTTGTGGCTGATACATCAACGGACTGTCTTCACTTAATGGAAGAACACACTTCTGAACAAATCTCTTCCTTGCAGTTTGATTATGAATTTTTTGAGGAGACATAGCAGAATTCCTTTCTTCTCCCATCCTTTTATTTTTAAGCAGTTCTATCAGTGTAAGAGACTGATTCTTTTTTCCACTGGGTAGTTCTGGTTTTGTTTCATCGTATTCATTTAAGAAACTCAGCCCTTCTTCTTCTGATGCAGACACTGATAAAGCTTCAGTCTTTAGGCCATTACGGTATGCTTCAAGAGGTATAACATTTTGAGATAGAAAGTCATCACTTGATGCAAGTTTTTGAGCTACAAATGGTCTGGGAATAATACGACGACTGTTCAATGCTTTCAAGATCTTTTCATATTTTTCTTCATTTTGCATCATCTCATTCAGAACACAGATTGGAGATTTGTGAGCATCCCATTTGGTCTTTCCAAGTCTTTTCAGATGGCCTCTAACATGATTCGATAATCCAATTTTAGTATCAAACCAACCACCACAGAGCTGACAAGTGTGTTCAGAAGTGGTTTCAGACTTCTCTATAGCTAAAAAAAATTTTTTAAGAGTAACATCAGAATCTTTTATAAAGTGATCATTGTAAAGCCAATTAATTCTGAAATACAAAATTAGATGATTCTAAAAAGACCAAATTTGAGCAAAACCTTCGAATCCTTTGAACTTGAATACAGACATATTAACCCATATTATCCGCATGGAAACTTACCTTTTCTAACTCGCTTAACAGGTGTCCCTGTGCCAGTTCTTTTGAAATGTTGCATTTTGTCACTTGTGGCTATTTGTTCTGGTGATACAACATGTCGGGCTTCATAGCTTAGTCCAGCTCTGTGAAGATGTCCTCGGACATGATTTGACAATCCAACACCTGTTTCAAATGTTGCTGGGCAGTAAGGACATGATTTCTTCTCAAGAGACAAATCAGTCCAGTGAAAAACAGAACTATGCTTTGACAATGAAGTTTCCGCATTTTCTAAATGCTGAGGATCATGTATGTCATGCAAAAAGTTATTAGTTCCAGCATCTTCATAATATTCAAAATAAAAGCCATCATTTTGATCATAACTAAGGGTAGCATTTTCTCCGGGCTCTTGACCTTCCACCTTGCTTTTAAACAGCGGGAATAAGTTTACATGTTCTTGATTAATATCATTATAGGTTTCATCTTCTATAGCCTGTGTAGTGTAGTCACCTAGCTCAACATTATCCCAGGAACTTTCATCTTCTGTTTCATAGCTATCTTTCTTTTCAGCGGAATTAAGTTTTTGCAGAACAACAACAGTCATTTTATGCAAGAAATCTGGATAGCTATCCAAGTCTTCTCCTCCAACAGAACTTTCCTTCTTAGACTCCTTAACTACTCTCTTTACAGCTACACGCCTGTGTTCTTTGAAGCTTTCCGGCCTTTTGGTGTCAGAGTTTTGAGGGTCTGAAATGAAACTATTGTTGTGAGAATTACCTGATGACGAGAACAGATGTAAAGAATTTAATGAACTGGGCTCTTCTTTTTTGAAATGTAGAGGATATGATTCACCTGATTTTTTGATCATCCTGTAGTTTTCATATTTGTGTCTATATAAATAGTTGCTGTTTGCCTTGGCATTAGATTTTTCTTTTGCTGCTTGATGGAAATACTTCGGTTTTTGGTCAGTGCTGCTTTTAATCATAACAGTCTTGTGAGAATTGTTTTGATTGCACATGTTTACACCTGACTGGGCAATGCTTTTCCGAGCTTTTTGTATTCTGTGTGGTCTCTTATGGAATTTGGAAAAATTACTTGATTGTGAGGATGATCCAAATGTTCGCTTTACATCTTGTTTTAAAGCAGAGTTCTTTGGAAATGTCGTTGACTGTTGTTTAATTAATGGTTTAGTGCTATCAATATCGATAGGTTCTTCGAGAACGTCACTTTTTCTTTTATCAAGTCCAAGAGGACTACCAAATGAATCAATGCATGATGATGAATGCAAGTATTCCACGTGTTTTTTTAAAATACTTCTAGCTGAAGTAGTAAAAGGACACATCTTACATATGTAGGTGGCTGATTTTTTGGATGATCCTATAATAGAATCTTTCATGAAAGTCTTTTTTTGCGTTTTTCTCTGGGCTACATCAGAACTGACGATAGGGCATTTTACCACTGCTCCATGGGCAATGCCTCGATGGCATTCTAATTCATTTTCTGTCACTGCCATGAAGTTACACTCTTCACAACAGTAGTACCTTTTATCTTTTTCATGGGTTTTAGCATGCTGCACAAATGTCTTAGGGCAATTGGTACCAAACACACACTGTGGGCACTGTAATCGTGCACTTCTTCCTTCATCCTGAAGTTCTTTCAATTCACGAATTTCCTCCATCAACTTCTGTCTTCTTTCTTGGTGAATAATCATATGCTTTAGAAGTGAGTTACGATCTCGGAATGTCCGTCCACATTCTCTACAAGCATATGGCCTTGGGACATTAAGATGGCGAAAGTGGCTATTCCCATCTAAATGATACATCATATGCCTGTGGAGGTGCTTTTTCTCCCTAAAATTCACATTGCACTTTGTACAGGGGTAGAACGATGGCTCTTCAGTGCTGAAAGTAGCAGGTGACTCGGAATCACTTTCTTCACATTTCTTTTTTAAGGTATTTGAAAGAAAAGTGCTACTATGAACAGGTGAACTGTCTTCTCCACACTTATCTGGGTTATAAATTAGATGCTGAAAAGCATCCACAGATTCCAAGTCTTCATCAGTTGATTCAGGCTTCACTTTTGATAATGCATATTTCTGTGAGTCTATTGCTTGTAGTTCTTCATTCTGTTCCAGAAAGTCTACCTCTAGCATTTTTGACTTATTGGGTATACAATTAGAATCACTAAAACAATCCTCAGTATAACGAGTAATCTTGCTTACATCCATTTTTCGCTTTCTCTTTTTCTCTAGACCTACTTTAGAGTGAACTGGAGCTTTATCCACTGTGTCTTCATTAGTCATAAGAAACTGAATGAACTCTTTTTGGGGATCCCAGTTTGTGTCATTTTCTGACCTAAATTCATCTGTACCTGAGGAAATTCCTGTCAATGTATCGACACAATCATCTTTTACCAATAAATCGTCACTATCCTCACCCACCTCTACTTGACTTATTAAAGTGCTCTCTGACTTTATACTACTCCCTACTGAATTCTGAATGTCACAACCAATGGAAGCAGAGGTAGGTAGTTTTTTAATGGAATGGGTTGGATTTTTAGCATGTGCTACATCTGATAACAAAAATAAAACTTGGTGTTGACTTGCTTTCTGTGGTGTAGATAGTTGAAGATCAGGTGCCACCTTCAAAGTTGAACAAGATTCTGTTGTTGGCTGATCCACAGGTTGTCCAGTGGTTAATGAAACGCTGCCTTTATTCATATTGGAAGTCTTAGCTAAGGAGGAGTGTAAAACTGGTCCATTAACAGCAGCTCCTTTAGGCAAGATAAAGTTTTCACTAGGAACAGTAGGAGCACCAGCATGTATAAACAGAGTAGACTGGCCTCCACTTAAGGCTTTTTCAGATTTGTCCTTTGACAGTTCTTCAGGCAGAGTGAGCGTATTATTTATCTGAAATGATGTTTGACAATCTTTTGGTTTATGAACTCCACTCTCTTTGTCTGAGATAAAACTGTTGTTATCTAGGAGTTCTTCTTTAGCACCAGTAATATCGGTGTTTATCTTCACATCATCCATATTGTTGGCAAGCCCATTTAACACATTTAGTCTAGAAAATGGAAGAAAAAAAATTTAGATTTGCATGAAAGAAAAAATTCTATTAGAATGTACGGAGAGTTCAAAGCACACATTTTTATTAGTGTAACTCCACTGTTTATAACAAGATCCTAATAATTTTCTAAGAATGAAGAAACACTTTAAGGAATGTGAAAGACTTTAAAAGTATCTCAAAGGTTAATTTTTTTCTTGTGCTAAGCAACAACCACCCCATATTGCATATCTACAAAATGTCTAGGGAACAGCAACATTAGAATTGGCCACATTATACTGTAATTGCCTGTCTCCTTGGAAGAATGTAAGCTCTTCGAGGGCAGGTACTATACACAGTCACTCTCATATCTCTAAAATCTAGCGCAGTGCTTGGCACAGGTGCTTAGGCAGTATTTGGTGAATAAAGTACTACCATGTTGAATGAATAAAAACACAACTGCAAGATCAAAGCCAAAGTATGCAAGAGGAAAAACAGTTTTCTTCCTATGAAATGTAGACACCCCATTCAAATAACACAAATTCCATCATAGTTCTGACTTCTTGACCCAGCAATGACAGCAAGGCCTTCAAAATGTCCAATAATCCTCAAGTACAATATAAAGAACCTGCTGCTTGGCAACCCTAGGTATGAACTATCTGAAGTGCTGGATAAAACTCTGTACTTCTTTTCCTTTTGTACAGGTAGCAAGTACAGTTTATTCATTCTCCAAGTATTTACTGAGCCCTTACCATGTGCCAGGCACTGCTTTATTATTGGGAATACCAGCAGTAAACAAAACAGACGAGGTTCCTGCTCTCTGATAAAGAATAGTCTCCCATTTTTCCCCCCACAGTATTTTTAATTTGTATAACAAATAACACTATTTTAAGACACGAGGAACTTAATTGATATTTAGAAATTAAAATATTTTCAATACAGTTCATTATTTCTAATATCTTTCATGGTACTAAATATATGCTCTGTAAAATATTAAGTCTAGTTAAAGAATAAAAATATTATTTCTAATTACTTTCTTATTTCACAATTTAGAATAAGCTCTTCTAAGTATGAGCTTACTCTTTCCACAAGATGTGTTCTTCATTACAACAAATATTACAAACAAATACAACAAATATCTGTCTTTGGCATTATTATTTATACCAACAATTTTTCTGCCCCTCCTAGGCCTCAGAATTCTGTTTTGAGATTGGCAAACTTCCACAGTAATAAAAATAGACGTCCAATAAGATCATATTCAATGACATCACCCCAAAATGGTGCTAATGCAGCACCCAGCAGGAGTCTCTACATCACATACACAGAAGTTAAAAATGGGCAGCACATAAACATGTGTTAGGGAAGAGTGTGCAAATGTCAATGAAAAGCAAAGCAAACCTTGACGCTATAACTATTACCCATTCCTGACATTTCTCATGAAATTACATAGAAAAAGTAAAACGTTCAAAAAGGAATGATCTCACAAATCTGAAGTGGACAACAGAATTTTTAAAAAACTAGCCTGCAAGACACTTACTTTGTATTCCTGTTTATTATCATCACAGAGGTAGACAAATATATGCTCAGTCAATTTGAAAGCCTATATTAGTATTTCTCAACAGGAAGCAATGCTGCTAACGAAGTGGTAAATTCAGTGTTAATGAGTGGCTTCACTGTTACCACCTCAGAGGTAAAACCTTCTATGTTCCATGTTCCACCCATCTGTTCTGGTGTTAGAGGTTCAGAGATGGAACAGACGCTTCCCATTTAAAGCAACTTCATTGGTACCCCCTGAACAGCAGGGTGACAAACTATGAGAATATCATGTCTGCTTGGAGACTGCATTCTCATTACCAGAATGGCTTTATAGGAGCCTTCCAAAAGTTCACATTCTAAAGATACCAAACTGGTTTGCTCAGAAACATAGTAAGAATATATGTATATGACATCTTCTGTCTATAAAATACATCTAGCAGAAGGAAAAACAAAAGATCAAATATTGTTAAAATATAAAATGAAGACTTTAACAAAGTTTTCCTTCACACCTAAAGAAATATACCTTATCTGTCCCCAAATTAATGATTACCTCTACTCAAAAATAGAGGTTATTCTTTTTCAGAATATTTATTAGCACATTAATATTAAAAATGTACCCCATCAGTTAAAAAGTATGTTATAAGAAATGGCTCCTAGCTAGTATCTTAGCAACAATAAAAATTTTTTCCTAGTTTAATTTTCAGAGTATATCTTAACTAAAAAGTGTTACAAATACATTTTTTCTTAAGAGTATTCAAAACTTATAGCTGTTGCATTGAGATATAACGCAGAACACTGAACCATCAAAATACTTTGCAGTGAATAATGGATCTAGAACTTTGACATCAAAAATTATTTCCCTACATTCATGGATGGTTATGTAGCATGGAGGCAAGAAAGCATTTAACCTACAAGTTAATTTCACACTTACAAACACTTTTTCCAACTATCTTTATGTAGTTAAATATATGTAACAGAGCCATCAACACCAGTTTATGTTAACAAAACTAAGTGGGGGACATATGTGAGGGTAGACATTATTCATTAAGTTCAAAAAAAGGGAAACTAATATATTAAAATAATCAAACCAATGTTATATTGCTTCGACTCCTTAAATTTCAGTGACTCTGCTATATCAATTAGGATATTTAAATAAAATGCTTAGATACTTTTACTTTATCCTCCTCCATGTAATCATATAACCGTAGAATTTTTCTTTTAAATGAATTTTAAAATATTCCTTAAAAAATTCACACACTTTATAAAAAGCTGTAAATGGAACTTTAAATCTACATAAAACATATTTCAGTTTCTTGAAAATCATAATGAGTTCTACAGCTATAACTGCCTGTAGTTATATACTATGAGCATTAAAAAAAAAACAGTACAAAGGTCAGATCTGTCTTCAAGATGACAGATCATCACTTTTATGCCTCAAGCTAGACTTATTGTCTTAGAAATTTCAAACATCAGTATTTTTGCAAACTATCAGCACTTGCTATAACACCCTCACTACACTACATCTTGAGGTTACTATAGAAGAAATGAGGTGATAATTGCATATTAACATAATTATTCTGTAATCCCTCTGAGCAAGCTTCCTAGGTCACTCAGTAATTCAGATTAGATACAACCTTCCTGTCATCAAATCTATGCTGTCCACTTTCTGTTCATGAATAATTTTTTATAGAAAATTAGCTTAATTTCATTCTTTTATGTACATTATTAATTGTATTTATTGCTAGTAGGTTAATATTTTGTGGGCACTTATTACATAATACCAACCTTTGTCATGTAGTATAATTTCATACGAAAATATAATACAATTTGCCCTCATTCCACATTAGCTCATTAATAGCTATATTGCCCTACTAGCTGAGTTACAGTTAAGATATGTCGGATTTTCACAAACCCCAAGTTCATTTAAATTATCCTTAAGAACACAAGACATCTTCAGTTAGTCATATATAAGAATGGGTCAAGAAGAGAAAAACATTCACAACTGCCATTCTAATTGCAAAACAAATCTTAATTAACTGAAATACTATGTGTATAATTACTGTGATATTTAAGTCTATATATATGTATACAGTGTACAAATATATAAATGCAAGCCTCACCTAATACATATTTCAAGTGAAGACATAGTATACTATTTAACCATATCATCTAGGCAGTATCCTACTCTGGATATCATTGAAAGAAAATACTAAAAAAATACAGAAATTCGTAAGGGTATCCAGCATGCCACATGATGAAATAAAGAGAAAACCTGGTATGCTTAGAATAACAATTAGCCAATACAGTTAACAATCTTCAACTGTTCAAAGGTGTGGCATATAAAAGATATGATCGAAGTGTCTGAATCACAAAGATGGATTTCATCTCAAGATTAAATAAACTAAAAACAGGAAACAGTCAACCTATTGCAAAGGGTTGTCTTACACAATAGTGAACTGAATGGCTCAGCAGTTTAGATTACTGTCACTAACACTGTAGAAGGTAATATGGCGCTGGTGATTGGATAAGATGATTTCTAACATCCTCTCTGATATGTACTATATATGTTAAATTTTTGGTTATTACATTATTAACACTTAACATTACTTGAAATAATGAGCTAAAAATGAAGTGAAAATTATACTATCGGACTTCAAAAAGATCCTCTAAATTCATAATTACTTGAAATAATCCCTTAGTTAAATTATAATATGTTGATAAGCTGATTCTTGAACAATGATATGGTACTAAATGACTAACACACCGAGGCCACAGAACTATCTGCAATCATGAAAACTACATAAAAAGGTTTTTTCCTATTGGTAATACAAAAAAAAAAAAAAAAAAAAAAAAGTCAATGAGCTCAAATAAATAGAAAATACATAAATAATGAACAGGAAAAATAAAGCAAGACTATGGATTCTGAAAAACAATCTGAGGGTTTTGAAGGGGCGGGGGGTGGGAGGTTGGGGGATCCAGGTGGTGGGTATTGGAGAGGGCACGGATTGCATGGAGCACTGGGTGTGGTGCAAAAATAATGAATATTGTTACACTGAAAAAATAAAAAATTTAAAAAAATAAAAGATAATATGAATTTAACAGAAAAAAAAAAGAAAAAAAAATAAAGCAAGAATACATTGGGCACATAATGCTTTCTTCCCAAGCAGCATGCAATACTACCATTACAAACTAATGATCTTTATGTAATTTTACCACCTACCATCAAATTACAATGAACTTATTGAATAGTTTCATTCCTGATACCATGAATTATCTTCATTATTTAGTAGGAAAATGTTAAAAATAGTAAGGTACTAAATCATAAACACCTCATAACACAAAGTTACCCTTACTGCTGAGTATACTAAACATAATCTGACACATCTCAAGAAGCAGGTAACTACAAGGACAAAAGGTGGTGGGGAGCTGCAAAGGCCTAACTTTAGCAACCTGACAAAATTATACAATAATGTGAAGTAAGAGTATTCAAAAAAAACAAATGGATAGTCACTAAATGAAGGCTAATTTCCTAATGAAGAGCTTTGTATTTTTAAGAGGTAAGGCAATAAATTACAGTTGCAACCAAAGGAAAATGCTAAATCATATTCAGCATGGAATGACAGCTTATTGTATTGTTTATGCTTTCATACAGTCAGAACAAGATAAGTGATCACTGGGACACCTGAATGGCTCAGTCAGTTAAGCACCTAACTTCAGTTCAGGTCACGATCTCAGGGTCCTGGAATCGAGCCTCGTGTAGGCTCCCCAACTCAGCAGGGGGCCTGCTTCTCCCTCTGTGCTCCCCCTCACTCCTGCTCATGCTCTCTCCCTCTCTCTCTCTCAAATAAATAAAAAAACTTAGAGAAAAATGTTAAGTGATAATCAGAGCTTTGTTAGGGTAAATAATGTACATATGCACTACTTCAACAATAACAATTCATGTAGGTTTTTTTTTTAATGAGTGATAACCTCTTTATATATTTTTCAAACAGAGCAAATGTTTGAAAACAATTATATAATTAACATAAATCATAAATGTGTCACTCCAAAGGTAGTGTGTCAACTCTACCCTCCACCAACAGATTATTAACTAAGATTAATTGTTATTTTACTTTGGGTCTTCCAGTGTCATTTGATCAGTTTACTCTTTGTGCTTAGAGTTTTGAGATATTTTATAAACATAAACCCATTGTGTCCAATAAATGCAAAAGAAGTGTAAGTGTTAAAAGTCCTTGGAAGACCAAACATAATTATATTAGAAGTGAAAATAGAGATAATAGTAATACCTAAAGTGGTAATATAAATATTATATACGCATATGGAATAACTTCTTGAAAGCTGAAATAATTGTGAAGGACAAAGAGATTTCACCATTGAGAAATTACTGTGCCTACACATCTGACAATAATCGGCAAGAGATAAGGAAACATGACAAAAGAAGTTCTTAAGAACAAAATCAGCATCAATGTTAGATGTCTGTTTGCCAATGGTTTTCAGGAAAGACTAGGAATTTGCTCAAGAACTTAAAAATAATAATGTTCAAAGTGTTGCAGATGAAACTTCTACCCCAACCATGTATGATTCCACAGGACAAAGGTCCATTAGAATATGCACATCAAAGTCAGTGACATTATTGCAAACGCAAACAATTGGGCTTTGAAGAAATTTCCCACAAAAGTAGAAGAGATAATCTGGCATCAAAAGACTGCCTGAAACATAACAGATGTCTCCTTCTAATACTCAATAATTTTGCTCTTTCAAATTCAAAACCTCACATATTCAACTGTTTGTATATTTTTGAAAAACTTTTGTAGATTTTACAGTTAAACTCTTATTACTAAAGTTCCATTAATTCATATAGTAATCACATATTAGTCATATTTATAAAGTACAAAGCTATTTATGGTCAGGGAAATAAACTTGAACATTATGAGGTCGAGAGAATAAATTCTGTAACTGAATTATAATTTAATTTTATTGAAAGGTGCTAAGATTGTAAAAAGAAAACTGCAATTCTGTAACAATCTGTAATGACTACTTAGCCTTTTACCTGTATTATGTACATTTAAACTCTAGTAGGTAAATTCAAACTTATATATAGATGGGAAAGTTTGACACTCTAAGAACTAGAAAAATGAAACACAACCAGAAGTTTTACTTTCTATAAAATTATTTTCATTAAATCTGAACTCTTACTGATACCATTTACTCAACTTACCTTTTCTTCTTTCTCTAAAATCAGCCCCCCAAATACAATTATCTTCTAAGAAAAATATTCCAAAGTAATCAATATTCTACAATAATCTTCACTTAGGATGGTAAAAATTCAAATACAAGAAATCTGCTTTCCTTAAAACAAAATATGCAGGAAGATGCACCTCTCTTGCACCAATGTCTTAAAAAAACAAAAAGAACATATTTTGGTGATGGCAAATCACAAACTGGCCATGACATTTTTCTGATTTAACAAGTTTTCCTTACTACATGTTCAATTCTGGAGTTTCATGTATAAAACCAAAGACATTTATTTACTGTGAATATAAATAATAACAAAATTTCTCCAAAATGTTAAAGAAAATGTTATCTAATATTTAGGAAATGCAATTACTTATTACTAATAATCAAACTTAAATGGCTCTCTTCAAACAAGTGTGATTTAAAAGAATTTCCTTTTACTTTACTCCTATGAAGAGAGAAAGATGGCAAGGTCAAAAGTAGCAATTGTGAACCAGAAGAAACTTACAGAACCCATGATTTCCAATTTATTCAATATCCATAATGCCGAAATTATGAATATTATATTATTGTTTTATAAAAGGTGACTAAAGCATAATTGAGATTAGGGGTGCCTGGGTGGCTCAGTGGGTTAAGCCTCTGCCTTTGTCTCAGGTCATGGTCTCAGGGTCCTGGGATTGAAACCCGCATTGGGCTCTCTGCTCAGCAGGGAGCCTGCTCCCCCCTCCCCCGCCTGCCTCCCTGCCTACTTGTGATCGTTCTCAAAAAAAAAAAGAGATTATTTCAGAGAAAATTTTAATTATTATGATTAATCAAATGTTATTGCTGTCAATTTTTTTTCTTACTGTATTGCTATCTAAGGAAGACTATATATAGGACACTTATGCATAGTGTATAGTATAATACACATAGTATAAAAAACTACTATCAGTAAAAGGCAATAAATTATGTCCCCAGTGAGTAATATGGATTATACTTTTTATGGTTCAGAGGAAATAGAAGGTTCTATAAAATACCATGGATAAGAAAAGCCTCAGAAAAATGAGAGTGTTAACTAAATTTTATAGTGTACTGAGCCAGGAGAATCACTCTTTGGTGTCAGACATGCCAGAGTTTGAAAAATGGCTCCACAACGTCCACCTTGTAGCAAAGTTACTTCCACTTTTCTTAAACTTCAGTTGCTTCATCAATAAAGTACATATGAAACCTACTAAGAGGACTGTGAGGATTAAATAAGACAATATAAAACATGCAGCAACGGACCTGGTATTTAGTAATTACTCACTAATATAGGGAATGTTAATTCCCTATAACCCTGCCATAAACTTGTTTCATTTATGGAATGATGACAGTGAATTTGTACGTTGCTCCTACTGATGAAGGAGGGCCTTATAAGCAGAAATTTATTCTGGGAAGAGATACCTGGTACCTTAAAACCACTGCTAAGATAAATGGGCAGAAGCTAAACCATCAGAAGAAACACATCTTAGGAGTTGCTGGGGCTGTAAGAATAACACTCTTGTGGGGATAAAGCAGGGCTTCAGTAATTCAATAAGCAATAAAAAGGGGAATTACAGTGCTTGACCAGTGCTCCAAGGAAAAAGAACATGAAGAGGCCACTCAGGATTTAGGAGTTTGATTCCTTAGGGTCCATTAGGACATGAATTTAATTGTCGTCTCTCATAAAATGTCAATGAAATGAAAGCAGATGAACTAGAACAGAGAGACATACCAAAGTGGTTAAAACCGTAAACTAGAACAGTCACAGATGAGGACTGCTGGAAAGAATGGAGAGGGAGATCCCAAATAAAACAAACAAAAACAGGGGCACCTGGGTTGCTCAGTGGGTTAAGCCTCTGTCTTCAGCTCTGGTCACAATCTCAGGGTCCTGAGATTGAGCCCCACATTGGGCTCTCTGTTCAGTGGGGAGCCTGCTTCTCCCTCTCTTTCTGTCTGCCCCTCTGCTACTTGTGATCTCTCTCTCTGTCAAATAAATAAATAAAATCTAAAAAATCTATAAAAACAGATTTTATACCAAAAAATATAAATCACAAAAGCAACAGATTTTTCACTGTCAAGAGTTAACTATTATGTCAAGGGTACAATAACATCAGAATTTGGGGTTAAAATTATTTTGAGTATAGAATCTTATACAGAGACAGAATACATAATATTCAAGTGTAATGGCATAGGGTCTCTAAGTTCACCACTCACCTACCATCTCAGAAGTTTTTCCAAAAGGCTGAATGTGGGGGAGAGGTGTGTCTTGAAAATGGCTAAAATTATTATGTTAAGTGTATGAAATAATGTATAAACTTAAGTGTTCGTCAGAATTATAAGGTTAACCACTAGAAGAACAAAAAGTAAATACACTTAAGATCCTCAAATTCTATAAACTATTGTGTTTTAAGTAAAGAAGTATAATATGCTCTGAGCAAGAGGGTGCCAAAGAACTTTGAAATAAAAAATGACTACACAGCAACAACAATAACAACAAAAGAACTCTCAGTGGGTGAGTTGAAAAGCAGAGTGAATATGGCTGATGAAATGGGGTATTCTTACAAAGACTTCTTAAAAAAGGGAGTAAAAAAACCCATGAAATTCAGATCCCCAGATTATACCAAGTAGGAATTATAGGAAAAAGCAAAACAAAGCAAAGCCCAGGGGACTAAAGAAGAGGACACAATAGAAAATCTTTCAGAGCTCAAAAAATACAGAAGTCTTTAGATTAATAGGACCCAAACAGTGCTCAGTGGATGAAGAAAAAAATATACTTCTTGACAAGTCCTGGGAAAATTTCAGAACTTTAAGAATAAAAGGTAGAATTCTACTCACTTCCAGAAAACAAGATAAAAACAAAAACTAGACTACCTAAAAAACAATAACACACAATTCTTCATTGGCAGTGTCATCAGATTTTGGGGATCAAATCCCACATTGGGCTACCTGCTCTGGGAAGCCTGTTTTTCCCTCTCCCACTGTGTCTCTCTCTGTCAAAGAAGTACAGTCTTATAAATAAATAGCCAACATTTAAAAATAAAAATAAATAAATAAATAAAATCTGTCTGAATAAATTATCTCATCTATGTTTTCTACTCTCTCCTACTTCAGTTGCCAATGTAGTAATAGTCTGGTGTTCTATTCCTTTTTCTTATTCATACAAACATATGACATGTTTGTTTTCTGATTTTCTTTATAGAAGTGGGATTATATAATATACATGCTACCATAAATAACCCTGTACAGATAGCCTTATAGTATTGTTTTTATTTCAATGATATAGATTTTTCAAAGTTCCATGTGTATTTTTGTTTACTACACATTTCCAAATCATTCCCCAAATTTCTATCAATAAGTCAATCTACCGCCAATGTGTAAGAATGCCTATTTTTCCCACAGTCTTAAAATTTTTTGCCAGCATCATGGTGAAAGATGTGAAAATACTTTTCAACCCAGAATTCGATAACTAGCTAAAGTACCACTCAAGCATAACAACAGAATATAGACATTTTGGACAAGCAAGGATTCCAATAGTTTATCATCCACTCATAGAGTAATTCTCCAGCACAGAAACAAGAATACATAAAAAGAAAGACACAAGAATCAATAAACAGCAGTGCCTGGGTGGCTCAGTTAGTTAAGCGTCTGCCTTCGGCTCAGGTCATGACCCCAGGGTCCTGGGATCAAGCCCCACATCAGGCTCCCAGCTCTATAAAGAGCCTGCTTCTCCCCCTGCTTGTGCTCTCTCTCTCTGTCAAATAAATAAAATCTTTTTAAAAAGTCAATAAACATTAGTAAGCAATTAAACCACTGAAAAAGGCAACTAAATGTAGTAACTATTAATTGTTCAAAAAGATTACTATGAAAAGAGAGTTATATTGTATATAATAATACAGAAACTAAGAAGCTCAAAAGATTTCACCATGGAAGGTTAGACTAGTGGACACTGATTCAAAGAAAATCTTTTAAAAAATGTATTAAAATGCTAAGGGTGCCCAAATAAAATAGTGAAATAAGATATATAAAATTTCAAATCTGTAGAATTAAAAAGTAAAGAAAATTTGATTAAATTAAAATAAAAAAGTAACAACAGAAGACATCAAAGAGAAAATAAAAGCAGAGAAATCCAAACACAGTCTTCTCAATAAATATTAAAAGTTTATAAATTAAGAAAAAGGCATTCATACTTGTTTTATTTTGATATATGCTATATGCTGTTTATAAAGGAAAAGGAAATGCTGAGGATAATAGATGATAAAAAGATTAAGCAAATGTTAATAATAACCATCTACTATCAGAACAATCTAATAGAATTTAAGGCAAAAAGCACTACACCTGCTAAAGATGAGTATTATATATAATAAGATACAATTCACCAAGAAGATATAATATTCATGAGCTCCTCTGCACACAACAAAATGGCTACATAATAATACATAATTATAATAATACATAAATAATAAATATCTACAAGTGTTAAGCAAAACTGACAGTCACAGAGGGAGGCTTTAAAATTTCTCCCCAAAAGTCAACAATCAAAGACAATATTCCAGTTTTACCTAACTCTTCCTTCAAGATCACCCTTCTTGCACTTGAGAAAGGTTCCCAACAAACCTGCAACCTTCCCTGTCTCTGTTAGTTATAACCTTGGAGCAATCTTCTTCATTCATTTATTCACACTTCATACCAAAACTATCAAGAAATCTTATTGCCACCATCTTTAAATTATATCCAGAATCCAATCACTTCTCACTACTACTACATCCAGATAGATCCACTATTATCTCTCCCCTGTACTATTTCAATAGCTTCTTAAATTGGTCTTAGTGCATTTACCTTTACGAACGTACTGTTTACTCTTAATACCAAAACCACAGGAATCGTTTTAAAACCTAAGACAGGTAACGTTCCTCAAAAATCCTTCAATAACTGTTGATCTTATCCTCTTAGAGAAAAAAACACAACATCTTTATAATAGCCTTAATGCCCTACAAAGAACCTATCCAGCAACATTTTGATCTCACTTTACTCCTCCCCACAACTCACTTACCCAGTTCAAGTCACACTGGCTTTCTTACTAGCCCTTGAACACATTCTCTCCCATATTAAGGTCTTAGTATTATTGATTATTCTCCAGCTAGAATGCTCTTGCTCCCAGATACTCATGGCAAATTCCCTCATTTAATTCAAGCCTTTGATCAAACATTTTCTTTTGAATAATGCCTACCTAGACCATTTTATTAAAATTATATCCCAAACTCCCTTACCTTCTCTTATCTGTGGGCAATCTCAAATAAACCTACACTGGCTTACCCCCTCCTTTTTTTTTTTTTTTTTTACCTCAAAATGCTTATCACTTTCTAATATACTGTGTAATATTTATTATGGTTATTGTCTGTATATCCTTCCTACAGAACTAAGGGCATAGATCTTTCTATTTGTTACGGAATCTCTCAAAGGTCTAGAAGAATGCCACCATTCAGAACCTTGGTATTGTGCATTGCTTTGATAATGCTCTACGTAAAAACCTCTGGGTACTAAGTAAAAAGGAGGTTTGGGAAATAGGTATTTCCTTACCACGGCAGCAAAGCAAACAACATGGAAAGGCTATATAGTCTTAGCTCATTGAAAAACTCAAGGCAAAAGTCCAGTGCTTTGTCCCTTTCACTTTGCCTGCTAACCCACCATACTCACTTTCCCTTTTTTCATACCCCCCACAATCCATTTCCCAGTTTTAGAATTAAAATTCAGAAATGAAAAGGCTCTCAACAGCTAAAAGCATGATACCTGAATTTGAAAAGTAAAGCCAAATTTTTACTGACAAAGGGTTACTTTGATTTAGCTGGGAAGACTGGCTGAATGAATTAAATCTACAGTGCAAAGATTTTGAAGAAATTAGATTTACAGCACCTACACAATACATAAACACTGATAATTATTTTCACTCATGACAAAAAAATCCAAATGCCAACTTAAAGACACCAGTTTTTCAAAATTCTATTACGAAATAATAAGGAAAAAAGTGTAAAAACTATGATCAAATATATAGATAGCACCATACAACAAGAAACCAACATTCTTATTTTAAACATATATACGTTTTCTTACTTCAAAACATTAAGTAGAACATTTATAAAACCTGACTATATATTGTAATAACCATGGAGAAATTCCCAATAGAGACAGAAATCTTATAGACTGTATTCTCCGGCCACCATGCAACGAAACTAAAAATTAGGTATTAAAGAGTTGATTAACACGTCAATTACATCTCAATAAAACTGGGGGAAAAGAATATCTACTAAAACAAAGCAAACAAAAAGAGTTAGTGAGCTAGAAAAAGGTCAGAATAAAGTAAGAATGAAGAAAGGAAACACAAGAAGATAGAAAACCAAGAAAGGAACAGAGCCAAAGGATGATACAATAAAAAGATCCAGCATATATTTAATGGGAATCCCAGAAGTTAAGGAAAGAGAAAATAGGACAGACACAATCTTTGAAAAG